TATATATGGGATTAAACTCAGGACTATGCACTTGCAAGGCAGATATGGTGCCTCTGAGTTAAATCCGTCACCTAAGACTGTTATAGATTTTATATATTTCTAGAAGTTCATGTGTAAAGCATGAACTCTCAAAGTATATCAACAGGGCCGGGGATTTGGCTCAGTGGTTCCACTGCCTGCCTTGCAAGTGCAAGATCCCAAGTTTATGGGATTAAACTCAGGACTATGCACTTGCAAGGCAGATATGGTGCCTCTGAGTTAAATCCGTCACCTAAGACTGTTATAGATTTTATATATTTCTAGAAGTTCATGTGTAAAGCATGAACTCTCAAAGTATATCAACAGGGCCGGGGATTTGGCTCAGTGGTTCCACTGCCTGCCTTGCAAGTGCAAGATCCCAAGTTTTATCCCTGGTACCAAAAAAAACAAAAACAAAAATAAAAACAAAACAAAAAAAAACCCCAAAACAAAACAAAAAAAATCATAAATAAAAAAAATAAAATTTTTTCTACAAAAGTAGATCAACAAAACCATGGAATTTAGTATGGACTCTTCATTTACAAAAAAATAAATTAAATACTGTGTTTCAGTTTATTTCTATTTGCTTATGGTTTCATGGAAGTTTTATATTTCTGAATTAACCCCAATATATAGACAGTGATGCAATGGGTAGACTTTTGGATTTCTTAATTGTAAACCTAGTTGAAGGAAGGTATGGCTAAAAGGGTAATATTTAGTATATCTGAATGAGGAAAATTATGTGTAATAGTTCTCCAAATTTTTTGTATTCTATTGAATATGAAATAGTTTTACTGAGGTATATTACACATACCATACAATTCATTCATTTAAAGTATACAGATTGATTTTTTTTATATGTTTAAGTTGTCATCACTACACATTTTAGAACAGTTTCATTTCTCCAAAAGCAAAATCTTATACTCATTAGCAGCACATTTCAAATTCCTTCCAAGTGACTCTTCAGTCAAACCCATAGGCAACCTCTAAATTTCTGAACTTCTGAATAGAAATTTCTAGATATCTGCCTATTCTGGATATTTAGTATAAAAAGAATCACTTAATATGAGGTCTTTTGTGTTTGGCTTCTTTTAATTAGCACAATTTTTTTATAATGTTAGAAAATGAGCTCTGATTATGAAGTCAGTTATTGTGCAGTTTCATTTGTGTCATAGCACGTACCAGTACAGTTTTCCTTTTTATTATAGAATGATGTTCCCTTGTGTGGCTGTACACATTATGCTTATTTGTTCATCAGTCGATAGAAATTTGAGTTATTTCCTCTTTGTTTATTGTGAATAATGTTTGTATGAACATTTACATACAGTTTTTCATGTGGATATGTATTTTGATTTATTTTGCATATATAATTAGGAGTAGAATTGCTAGATCATATGGTACCTTTATGTTCAACATTTTGAGGAACTGTTAGAAAAAATTGAAATTGGCTCTTGAAATTGACTATAGCATTGTACATTACCACTGATGATTTTGGTTTTTTAAAATGATTTCTACATAGGTATGGAGATTGAATTTAATACTTTCTTTACATATGTATGCTTTTTATTGTTTTTTTATTTCCACATAAAATTTTAATACTTCTTACAGAATTTTGCTTCTAGAATCTGTTTTAAAACTGAAATTTATAAAAGAAAACTAGTCTTTCACAAATAATTTAAAAAGAATATTGTTTTGATGAATGGAATAATTGGGACTTAACTTTTAGTTTTTAAACTTTTCCTCTTTCATTTTTGTATAATATAAAATATTTGGTCCATCTCATATTTAATGATGCACAGTTTTAATATATTTGACATAGTTGTTTATGTTTCTACTTCTCTGTCTGTTAAATTTTCTTTTCTTCCATGTGCTTTTTTCTGGATTCTCTGCCTTGTGATTACAAAGAGGAATTCCTGACTTATCTTGAACACTACCAGCTAACTATTCCAATAAGGGTTGATCAAAATGGAGCTTTTCTCAGCTTTACTGTGAAAAATGATAAACATTCAAGGAGAAGACGGAGTATGGACCCTGTCGATCCACAGCAGGCAGTGTCTAAATTATTTTTTAAACTTTCAGCCTATGGCAAGCACTTTCACCTAAACTTGACTCTCAATACAAATTTTGTGTCCAAACATTTTACAGTAGAATATTGGGGGAAAGATGGACTCCAGTGGAAACATGATTTTTTAGACAGCTGTCATTACACAGGATACTTGCAAGATCAACATAGTACAACTAAAGTGGCTTTAAGCAACTGTGTTGGGTTGGTAAGTAGATGTTATAATTTTAAATTTCTTTTTCTTTTCTTTTTTTTGGGGGGGTATCTGGATTGAACTCGAGCCCTTGCACTTTTGAGGCAGGCGCCAGAAACACTGAGTTAAATCCCTGGCCCTATAATTTTAAATTTCTGAAGAGAAAATAAATTCACAATGTAAATGTCTTTCCTCAGGTTAAAAGATACATATTGGTGGTGTAAGTAGAAAGGTAATAGTCCAAAATTGTTATTTCTGCTGCCTTTTAATGTTTGTACTGACTTTTTAAAGATTAGCTTTTAAAAGAATTAGTAGTAGAGGAATGAATGAAACCTCAGATTTCCTTTCAGGCTTACATTTTTCTATTCTAATAGGATTTTTAAAAATTGCATAATCAAAATCCAGGCATTGGTAAAGAGTTTCAGTGTATGTTTGTATACACATATTATGTGTATATTATGACAGGAAACTACAATACCCATTGCCTCACTTAGGTTGTTCTCTATAATATCTTTAGTAGGTAACATAGGCTAATATTACTTAAGACCTATTATTATTATAAGTTCTTGAAGCAAATCTTTTTTTCTGTTGGTAGTATTGGGGATTGAACCTAGGGCTTTATACATGCTAGGGAAGTGCTCTAGCACTGAGCTACATCACCAGTTCTTTTCATCAGAATCAGGATCTTGTTAAATTGCCCAGACTGACCTCGAACTTGAGATCCTCCTCCTCCTGCTTTAGCTTCATGGGTAGCTGGGATTCCTGACATGTACTACCAAGGTTTCCTGAAGACAAATCTTTTATACTAATGCCTATGAAATGAATTCCAAACATTTATGTGAAGATTGACGATAATCTTATTTCACTTCTAAAGTGTATTCTAGATTACAGAGTATTCTAGAGTGCAGAATAAGCTTTTTTTTTTTTTGGTACCAGGGATCGAACTCAGGACCTTGTGCTTTCAAGGCAGGCAGCAGAACCATTGAGCTAAATCCCCAACCCTAGAGTAAGAGTTTATAACAGTCATTTTATAAAAGCTTTCTAGTCTAGTGCTAAATACACAGTTCAGAGTTACACGTAGTAATGATTTCAGATCAAAGCATATTTCCCTGTTTCCTCTTCTATTTGTACCCTGTTCAAGGTAATATAGGTATTCCCTTAAAGCTTCATCTGTGTAAAAGAGCACAAACATTTTTATACCTAACACAGGAACTATTTATCTTCCTGGTCATATCATACATATGACATATTTATATTGAAGCATACATATTATTATAATCTTAAGTATGTTTTTGTTTTGTGTTGTTTTTTGTGGTACTGGGGATTGAACTTGGGCCCTTGTGCTTTTTAGGCAGGCAGCAGAACCACTGAGCCAAATCCCTGGCCCTCTTATATATGTTTTTTATTGAAATAATATAATTAGAATTGAGTTAAAGTAAGTTTTCAATTTGAAGGAACTATCAACAAGTATATAATGGAGAGGAATTTCAGTATAGATGTATAACAATTTGCTGACATTGTCTATTTTCTATAACTGTAAGGTAAAATGAGCCCATAGAATTAGATTTTGACATTTGAATTTAATGCCTGTTATTAGGTATATTGAATACATTTTTTTGCTTGTTTCTTTCTCCATGAACAGTATTAGGAATTTATATACAAAAGATTTATTTTTTGTTTGTTTGTTTTTTGGTATGAGGGATCAAACTCAGGACCTTGCGCTTGTGAGGCAGGCTGCGGCACAACTGAGCTAAATCCCTGGCCCCAAAGATTAATTTTTTGAATAAATAAATGTATCTTAAGACTTCTCATGTTGAAATGGTACTTTCTGTTAAATATCAGAAATTATCATAGGCAACTACTTTTCCTTTCTTTTCTCTTTTTTTAATGGCTTGGGGGATGGAACTCTGAATTTTGCACTTGCTAGGCAGGCAATGGCACCGCTGAGCTAAATCCCAGGCCCTCCTTTTCCTTTCTTTATATTTGGCATTAACGTTAATATGCCATTGCTAGTCTCCTTTTTAAGTACCGGGGATTGAATTCGGGTCCTTGCAGGTGGCCGAACCACTAAGCTAAACCCCTGGTCCGCCATTGCTAGTCTTAACAGCATGATGAAATAAGCAAATTTTAGATTCAGAAAAAAACAGAACAAAGTTCATTCCATTGTGCAATTTGAGGGAAAAGGGGTGATTATTCGAATATGAATTAGAACATATAAATGATAGTAGGCCTATTCAGACTGTTGCACTGGGAATGGAAAAGATAGAATAAATCTGAACCACATTTTGTTGAGAAAATTTAGAGGATTTGTATCCTATTAATCTTTTATTCCCTGGAGTACAGTAAGAGAGATAATACACAGTAAGCATTTAATAATATTTTAAATAATATTTTAATAATATTTTAAAAATGGAACTAGAAGCAAATGGGGTGTGGGGTGAAAGAGAAAGTACCTGAAGATGGCTAGATGTTCTCTTTTGGATGAATGTATATGAATGCTATTAGCAGAAAATAAGGTTTAGAAGAATACTACATTAGAGAGGAAGATGAAGAGGACTTTGATACAGTAAATGTAAGGAATTTGAAGAAATAAATATGTCTAGTAGCAGCATTTGGGAGATATAACTCTGAATCTAGAAACAAACTCAATTCTAGAAATGAGTAATTTGAGGGTCAGTATAGGTGACTGAAATTGTGACAGATGTAGTCTGATGAGTCACATAAGGTTGCAAGTGGAGCTCCACAAGATGATGGCACAGTGTTGTCAATCTTCATCCTCAGTAACACTTTCTGACTCTTGTTTTCTTTCCCATTTGTTAACACCTCTTTGATTTGTTTCCTATTGAAATTGCAAGATCCATGCTAGTTAATTTTGATTACTTGGTTAAGGTGTGGCTTGCCAGGTCTATTTACTAATGTTGCTATTTTTCCCTTGGCAATTAATAGGGAATTTATAAGCAGATATTTTGAGACTATGTAAATACCTTGTTTTGCATTACTCTTTTAGCTATCAGTTTTAGAAACTTTCCCTTTTATTCTTATTTTGTATCATGTTATCTTTTTTGTTAGAGTATGTAAACGTTTTCTTAAAACTCCACTTTTCAAAGTCAACTGCTTTTAATTAACTTTGTTTTTAAATGCTCTGTATAAAATAGCTTTCAGCAGAGATTATTAGTGTTTTCTAATCTTTCTTTTTTTTTTTTTTACTCATAGTTTCAATGTTACAACCCTTGCACCACTCAAAGGACAAAGTTCCTAATATTACACTCCACTGGTTGTTCCAAATAATGCCAATTTTAGTTTGCTTTATGCCTGGACAATAGTTTTCTTTTTTTTTTTTTCTGTTTGGTTTTGTCTTGTTTTTAAGTCAGGTAACCTGTAGTTGTTCCTTAGTTTTTACATCTATTGCTTGGGATATATCCTAAGATAGATATGCCTCCATTTGTATTGGAGGCATTGGAGTATACAGGTTAATTAAGTTTTTCAGCACCTGCACATCTCTCATCTTAGATTTCTTCTTTCCTAAGTTAGGTCTACATCTTCTTCTTTCTGAGTTTATATTCTGGTTTCTGTGGGAGAACATCTTAAAATAATTACCTGAGAACAGATGCCTCAGAAGTAAAATTTCTGAGTCTTTGCCTATTTGAAAGTGACCATGTTGACCTTATGCTTGGTTAACAATTAACTGAATGTGGAATTCCAGGTCATAAATAATTTTCTTTAAGAACCATGGATGCTAGAATTGGGAAGGGGAGGAAATATTTGGGTCATCAGATTTATCTGTATTGACAGGTGTGGTGGCACATACTTGTAATCTCAGCTACTTGGAAGGTAGAGGCTGGAGGATTTCAAGTTTCCTGGGTGGCCCTGGAAACTTAATGAGGCTTTGTTTAAAATACAAGTTTTACAAAGTTGGGGGTGATTGGGGATGTTCTTCAGTGATAGAGTGTTTGCCTTTCATGTACAAGGCCCTGGGTTTAATTCCCAATACATCAAATAAAAATAAATAAATAAATAATAAATAAATTTATACATGGTTTTATATTTTTAAACAAAGGAAAATATTTAAAGGTCTAAAAATTTAGCATTGATTTATCTCAGGTGAAGTCTGCTGTTAGTTTGACTTTTATCCTTTTTTAAAAAACATTTTAAATTTTTTACATTTTTTCATTGGCAAAAATTTACATATTCTTCTCTTTATATTTCCAGTTTCAGTAATTTTATAATATGGCTAGATATGGATCTTCTTCCTGTCTCTTTGGTATTTAGTTTAAGGGAAATGAAAAATTATTTCCTTAATACTTTCCTCTTTCTTCCTTCCTACTCTGTCTTTCTAGAATTGGCTTTCTGTTTTTCTGTATGTGTCTCTCATTTTCCATCTTTCTCTTTTTTATTCTAAGTTCTGTGAGATTTCTTCAGTTTTGGCTTCTTTTCCTTCAGTTGATTTAAAAGTTTCAGCTGTCATATTTCTAATTCTTAAAAGGTCTTTCTTTTCCCTTACCTTTGGTTCTTATCTCATGAAAAATGATTTTGTTCAATTCCTCTGACTATTCTTAGTTATATACAGGTAGTTATAAAAGTCCACTGCCCCTTTAAACTTTCTCTTCATTTAGTTATGTCCAAAGTTTCATTTTTTCCCTTTTTTTTATAATCAATTCTGCATTCACTCATTCATTGAATACTTATAATTACCTACCATATATTAGACACTGTTTTAGGTTGTAGGAATATAACAGTGAATAAAACCCAAATCCCTAAAATTATTTACCTTGCATTCTATTGGTGGAGCTATAAATAAGGTAAATAAATAGAAATCATAATATGTTAGTGATAAGTGGCAAGGAGGAAAAAATATTAGACAAAGACCTTAAGGGAAATGAGGCAGGAAATGTTGGCATTTGAGGCCTAATATGTCCAGGTTGGAATCTGTTCAAAGATTTGATCTGAGTGTTTGAGGAAAAGCAAAGAGGCCACTATGGCTGTAGCTAAGTGAACAAGAGATCCTGAAGGAAACT